TCACGCTTTCGGTCCGTCTGGTGGTTGTTTTCTGTTCGGAAAAGGATAGTTATAAGTCTGATTATTTTGCAGAAGCCGGGCCTCATCCGTTCTGACAGTGGACAACGAACGAACAAACTCACCACGTCCTCCTCCGCCGAAACCGCCACGTTCGGCCAAAATATTGCGCGACCAGACTCTCCTAAATACGCAAGCAACAGTTAGTCCGCATCTCTCCGTACATAATCACGAAAAGGTAAAAAGCGCAACGCATTGACACCTGTATTTTTGCGCACATTGAACCATTAATGGCTCAGGCCTATTTACCCGCGTACATGCTGTCTTAAGTAACTGGACTTCTTCGCGCCGAACCGAGGAGATGTTTTTTCAGATCCTAATACCTCTGTGGTTTTTGTTCTTAGCTGTATATGCTTCACTGTTAAAGGCATTAGCATTCTATGCCAGGGATTGATAAGTTGGATGCAGGGTCAGGAAAGGCGTTTTTGATAAAGGGGATAGATGAAAGAACAGTTGTAGAGCACATTATTAGCCTCAAATGGAGGTGATTTAGCAAAAACATGAGATGCGCTTGTAGCCTGTCTACATTTCTCGATTTTAGGCTTCTCCGCAACAAGCAAGTTGTACTGTAGAAAATACAGCACACCAAGCAGTGCAAAATTTGCAGAAAGATTTGGTAAGTCCCCTCGATTTGGTCAATGTTTTTTGTCAGATGCGTCTTATTAAAAGGAGTTGTATGAACTAGTTATGAAGGAAGGCGGGAGGGGGGAACGGACAGAAGATTTGGCCATCTGACCGTATATTTGGGAGTTCTTTGGTCTGTAGATAAATATATGTATATACATATCTTCGCAGAAGAATGCTTTTTCCACCAACACATTCGAATCAGCAGCTGAAGCCTGAAGCATACACACATATCATTGGTGGGAGCTTGCAACTCATGCATATACAAATATCAGAGTTAAAAATAGACATGCTGTTTATTAGGACGCAGCAAATTTCTTTGCCCACAAACCTGTCGTAACGTATTTCCAGTCAGAGGGAGAAAGAAAGTAAACTGTTACACTTGTATAGCAGCTGCCATTCGAACAGCATGAAGTCCGATCCAGTAGCTGCACTGAATGAGAGTTACCCTTACTTTTTACATAAGCACGCATCATCTAAAATTAAAATTACATTACAGATCTGTGACTGTAGTAAAAATTTTTAATAACTTTCACCGTTTTGTTCTTTACGTCCAATGCTTATTTTAAGGCTGCATTCACGGAAGAGAGTTTTGATAGTATGTCAATTGGAAGCATAGCAAATATACGAGATTTTTTGGATGAGAAATTGAATTCTTCCGAAAATGATGGGAGAATTGTTGAGGAAAAATTGCTTTCCCTCATTGAGCAAAGTAAGTTTCAGTTTTTTTTTCGGAAAACAACCAGAAGTATTTACAAAGATTTTGAAATTTTTTCCCTTTTTTTCGAGTGTCTTCTCGCTTTCATGCATAGCTGCTTAACCTGTGCCACCATCCGACCAAGCTGCATTTGGCCTGTATCGCGCAAATTTAGCCGGACAAAATGTCTCCTTGGCAGTGCGAAATAATGGCATGTACAGCTACACTGCCAGATCCTGAGCTGAAATCCCTGGAGCATTCCTAGTTGCTAGTAATTCCACGTTTTCTTTGTTGTTTGTCCGCTGTACAACCAAGTTGCGCACAAAAAAACATAGTGATTTTTTTTTTTTCGGCGAAACGGAGTGGATGAAAAGCGAGCACGTTTCCCAGTGGATTGTTGTGCTGGAAAACCACTGCATCTTGCTGAGGCAGCAAGCCATCTGTGTCAAGAAGTGAGTCGCATTATTTGATTTCTTTTGTTTCATACTAGCAATTTCCTTGTGTAAAAGTCTTGGTTCTTTGTTCTGGCCTGCTCCATTGAGAAACTGCCATCGTGATTCTGCTCTGATATACTTATGACTTTATCACACCACCGGGACAGTTTTAGTGGAACTTCGTTACTACCAAGTATTTTGGAAATTTTTGGAAAATGTAACTGTGGATGTTTGTTTGGCGCTGTAGGCCAGCCGATGAAAAGGACACAGTCCAATATTGTCATCTATGGGAGAGCAGTGAGTGCTAATTCAGATACCAGATAAACGAGCCTGTATGTGCATTGGCTGTTGTCCGGTCTGTGCTTCATCCCTAAACTGTAAACACAGACGGCAGAGTCGGTGCGGAATAGGGTGGGAATCATCAGTACAGTGCCCCACTCCGCCATGTTTTGTGCCCAAACATCGGATACAGCTGTCTTTAATTGCGGAAGGTGGCATTTAAAACTTTCAATACTTTGAAGAGTCATTCCCTTTTCTTTCTTGCATAATTTTTTATTGAATTGGTTTAAGATAAGAACGCAAGTCCAAGAATTTTGTATCGTATAAGCCAGCTGAGAGTTTTGCGTTGTGCGAGCCAAATGTCTCCCTGGCGTGCTAGGGGCTGTTAAATTTTAAGAAACCCTTATCATGCTTCGACTGAGTTAACCGTCGTTACAGCACACAGGCATTTAACTGATGTGCACAAAGTGTGTTTCCAATAGTTTCGTCGTTTTTATGAATGCCGCGGGTTGTAAGTTTTCTTGGAAAAGTCTGTACTGCAGTGCATTTGGGGGATTTCAGATTGATGGAGAAATTTCTTGATTGTATTC